GTAAACAAAACAAATATAGTCCCGAAAAGGACCTTCATTATTGTCTAAGTAAGTTCTGCTGTACTTCTGAGGAAGTAACTCTGAGAAGAGGTTAAGCAAGTCCACGGAGGTGAAGCAAGTCTCCAGAGTTGAAACAAGTCCACAAGCGCAGCATGTCTAGAAGCGCAGCAAGTCAACAAGTGCAGCAAGTCCAAAATAGCTGCAGGATAAGAAGCGCAGCAAGTCCAGGAGCGCAGCAAGTCTAGGAGCGCAGCAAGGCAAGAAGCGCAACAAGTCCAATTGCGCAGCTAGTCTAGAAGCGCAGCAAGTTCACAAGCGCAGCGAGTCTAAAAGCGCAGCAAATCCAAGAGCGCATCAAGTCAAGAAGCGCAGCAAGTCTAAACCCACAGCAAGTCCAGGCGCGCAGCAAGTCAAGAAGTGCAGCAAGTCAAAAAGCGCAGCAAGTCATGAATCGTAGCAAGTCCAATTGCGCAGCTAGTCTAGAAGCGCAGCAAGTTCACAAGCGCAGCGAGTCTAAAAGCGCAGCAAATCCAAGAGCGCAGCAAGTCATGAATCGCAACAAGTCCAGGAGCGCAGCAAGTCAAGAAGCGCAGCTAGTCCAAACCCGCAGCAAGTCCAGGAGCGCAGCAAGTCAAGAAGTGCAGCAAGTCAAAAAGCGCAGCAAGTCATGAATCGTAGCAAGTCCAGGAGCGCAGCAAGTCAAGAAGCTCAGCAAGTCCAAACTCGCAGCAAGTCTAGACGCGCAGCATGTCAAGAAGTGCAGCAAGTCAAGAAGCACAGCAAGTCCAGAAGCGCAGCAAGTACAAAAGGACAGCAGGTCCTAAAGCAAAGCAAGTCTTGAAACACAGCAAGTCCAGAAGCACCAGAAAGGCATAAGTCACTATATCTGGCAAGTCCCTTTCGTTAATAAGAAAAAAGTCACCTTAAGTGGTGGACCCACACAGACTTACGTCTGACATAAAGCAATTATCAGTAATTTCAAAAATCAAATTGGAACATAGTATATCTTTAAATAATCAAAAATGTCTTATAAAGTCATGCTTTACAGTCAATAAATCTTAGAAAACTAACATCTTCTCTATTTTAAATGCAAAGAAAATGTAAATGAATAAGTCAAAAACAATTATCTTGGGTGATTGTTCTTTGAATCCCCCAAATCCGGTTAAGTCTGTATAGAGTTTATAAAAAAATTAACAGAAAATTTAAAGGTTCATGAAAACCTAGATTTTATAGTTAGTAAGTATAAAACGACATTTGCATGTATCTTTGGTGATTATGCGTGTAATGTTGAGCATATCATGACCTAATCTCTGTTTGGAGAAAACTCCTACTTCTAAAGATCCTTTTTTGTAGATGTTAGTTGTCTTTGAAATACTGAACAACACCCATACAAAAAATGACATCCTGCCTTACCGTGGAACGTGAAAATTCAAACTCCTCCATATGCTCGAGCCCATCGTCACCTATCGATTGGATCGATCAGATTGGTTGCAAATTAAGTCATGTAATACACCGTGCATATCCAATGACGCAGGAATGTGCAGTTATCGTAGCAGTAACGCCGAATCTGTGCAACGCTACTGCCAAAACGAATAACACAGTAAGTAAACGAACCAAACTATCTTATTCTAAATCAAATTTAAACAAGTGAATAAGCGCATACGGCTTCTACGACATTATACTTTAACCAGAATTACACTTTTTTTCAGGAATTTGTTTACTCCCTTAGATCATTCGTGACAAATGACAACCTGATTACCGTTTTGAAGGTGACTTTTGTGTTTCGTCAAATTAATATGTACATTTTTCACAATTAAAACATTTTTTTCATATTCTGTATACCTAAGATATTGGTCAGACTACAAGTGTCATATAACAATAGAAGGAAGCGGGTAAAATAGGATTTAGCTACATTTAATGAGATAACCGCCGTTGCCTCAGTGCTTCATTCACGAATTCGGCGTTACCTTGTTAAAATGGTCTCAATTACGTTTTTTCTGCTAAATTAAGTGTAATATGACACGAGTATATTGGAAAATGTCTCAGGTACACCAAATATTATAAATCATCAATTAATATGTACGTTATTGTATCTAAAGATACCAAAAAACCTAAAAATCACCATCAATACGCTAGTCAGGTCGTCATTTTCACGAATGATCTTGAAAAATAAACATTTTCATGGAAATATTTTTGATGAGGTTTAAAGTTTAATTCACAGCAACCGTATGTGCTAACTCATTTCTTCATATTTGGTGTACAATAAAAAAATATTGGTCCATTTACTTAAAGCGGTGCTCGTTTTAACCACTAAAATGCACAATTCTGCGTTACTTTTGCACAATTCCTGCGTTATTTGCACATTCCTGCGTTACTGGCTATACACGGTGTAATAGCCTGTAAGCTTTCCTTTACGACAAAATTAAGCTCATGACGCATGAAACTAGCTCGTTAGATGCCCGCGTGGCAAAGAGATAACATCTAGTGAAACAATGATCTAATTTTTATGGAAAGATAGCATTTAATTGAAAATTCAAATTATGATATGATAAGGGTTAAAAATTGTGTTTTTGGCAGTTCGTCTCTACCTGATTGTCGATCACTGCCATCAAAGTTTAATTTTCACGGTGGATATTTGAAAAGAAATTAACTAAATCTCTAATTATCCCATCCTAGCATGTTAAGCTTTTTGGCCCTATTCAAAAATAATTATTAAGTATTAATTAAATGCACTTTATATATTTTGTTAAACCGATAAAGGTTCAAATACTAGACAGATGAATAGGTTTTATATCTAATTTGAATCAGAAAAAAAATAATATGATGTCAAGAATAGAAGATATTGTGTGCCAACAAAATGGTCAAACATGTTATCCTTTAAAAGCGACTAAAACGGCAAGATTGAAAATGTTGCAGATCCTGTCCTTGGTCCTTAAAAACGCACAAAACGACTATCTGAATATATTGCAGGCTCGGTTTGCTTGAGTTTGAGCCTCTTCAAAGACCTTAAGGGAACGCCCAAAATGACAAAAATATAGGCTTCATAAAAAGGGACATTATCACCTTGTTTCGAAACATATAAGTATTTCTTCTAGTTTACGAGGTAGCGTTATTTACTCCAAATTTATTGCTTATTAGTCAAAACTTTGTTTGCAATCAATATCAAAATTGTTAGGATTCATGAAACTTTCTTCGACATCGATTGTAAAACTTTTACATAAGGTAGTACAAAAACTCAATTCACTTTATTCAGCTTTCAACTTACAAAGTTTGTAGCAATAACAATCAACACAAATACATGAGAAATTTTAATTATTCGTAGAGCAAAACATAGCAGTCATTATAACGTAATAGGCTAAATTTTAATTTTTATATAGCAAAACATAGCAATCATAATAATGTATGCGGCTCAAATTTAATTATCCACAGAGCAAAACATAGCAATGATAATAACGTATAAGGCTATTTTTTTATATTTCATAGAGCAAACCAAATCAATCATAAAAACGTATGAGGCTCATTTTTTATTTTTCATAGAGCAAAACAAATCAATCATAATAGTGTATAAGGCTCAATTTTAATTTTTCATAGAGCAAAACAAATCAATCATTATAACGTATAAGGCTAAAATTTTAATTTTTCATAGAACAAAACATAGCAATTATAATCACGATGAGACTAAATTATCAATTATGCATAGAGCAAAAATGTACACATCATATACATGTATTCGTTAAGCTATCGTTTCGTGACTTGTTGCAAAGTAAATATATTTTGCTTAAAAAAACAACAACAATGAAATATGTCTATGAATAAACAAATATATTTCTTAATGCAGGAGAACATTTTTTTACCAAATACAGACTGTTTACCTAGAAGTTTGAAGCTAGCCCTTTCAGTGTTTAATATTGTTCTGATCCTTTGGAATTATTGATTCCAGCACTTCTCTGTGTTGAAAATTGAGTTCCGTTTAAGCCAGTGCTAGAGTGCGTGAGGGATGTTGCACTTTTTCATAATCCTAATGTACAGACTCAGTCAAACAGAGTCTGCAGTTTTCATGTAATTTGGCTGTTGTAATGATTCCGAGGGATCGCTTTTATCAGATAAAAAATAATTATCATGAAATCAATTTGTGGAGACATAAATTCCGTATCATATATTTACACGAGAGTGATCTGGATGACGTTGTGTTACACATGATTGAATATATTTACTTCTTAAATGCAAGGCGATATATCTTTTTAGTTGGGTTTTACATGGCATCAAAACAGATGAGGTCCTATGGCGACTTTCTAGCTTCACCGGTGGAGGAAGACTTCAGGTGCTCCCCGTGCATAATTTCTGACATGAACGGGCACATAAGAAGAATCAACGATGTCCCGTAAACTAGCTGGATAGCTTCCCACATGCAAGAATTCAAAACTCTCGCGGGATTAGAACCTACAACGATGAGGGACAAGAAGTTTACGACCTTAAACACTAAGTCACCGACGCCCAAAGAAGATACATTTACTATAGGATTTAAATATGCGGCTGATGATATGCACAACAGCTTTAGAAGCGCCACTAAAATAATCGAAATTATGGAGTTTGTTGTTATTTCGTAAATATTTTTTCAATACTGTACAAGGAACATTTATCTCGTTTTAATATCTAATTTTGATTTATATGAGTATCTTGACCTTTTACCCGCATTTGACTTTCAAGAAATAAAGCATGACGGATCACACACGGTGTATCCGCGCCTCTTCAGGTTCTTGCCTTGATAAATCCACTTACGTCAAAATTAATACAAGATCAAGAAGAAGCTGTTAGCATGTTTTTGTCCAAGCTCCTACGATCACATCGGGTTAAACGGTGGTTGCAATTCTAATTCCTCAACCCATAAAGGCGACCCTCCGCCACAGTCATGCTAATTACAGTAGTTAACTGTTTAAACTGTTTACATACAAATATGCATGTAAAAGTTGATAACGACAAGCAAACCTACATTATAGGCTGACAAACATATCTACGTATCAATTGACAAGGTTACTGTGCCAAATTGAAAGAGAGAGCTTATCTAATTAGTTCAGTTTTAGCTGTCTTACAGAAATGAAGAACAACGGTTTTCTAATATGCTTGGTTATAGCTGTCGCAATAGGTTAGATTTTTTTTTATTTTGATATTTCAATCATTTTTATTTCATAAATCATTAAAAAAAGAAAACAAAGATTGCCAGTTGAAATAAACTACTAAACCGAGCAAAAATGCTATTCATTAGTTGATATGTAAAGTAATATGAAAAAGATACTCCAAAATAAAGTGAACGTGATCAAACAGAAAACAAGTGCATTTTGATAGGAAAATCGAACTCGTAAACTGTATCTAAATCAACAAAATGTTAGAAAATCGGTTAAAGTCATGAAATATTGTCGCGTGCCGGCAGTTCAGTGCTTAAGCAGGTGTTGTTTGTTTAACTATATCCATTTTGGTAGCGCTACTTTTTTACAATCATATAGGGACATAACTGAACTAATGGTTCGAATTAATTAGGCAAAGACTTTGAGGATAAGTCATCCATTTGCAGATGAATCATATATGTATATTAAAAATGTAGCACAAATCAGATGTAACACTTCAACAAATTTTATTTTGTGTATAAATAAATGTCATCACACAATATATAAGTTATTATAACAGCAACTGTCACACTTATTCAAAGTGAAATGATGATTATTGTTCATTTGTAAATAAATACACACAGAATTCAGTTATTAATTGTTAACTTATTATACTTATGAATAATTTACCACAGTACAGCACATGATGCATTTAAAATAAAAATTTCGCTGATATTATCGCGTATTAAATTAAGACGCTAACGGCGTTCTATAGAATATATGCAAGTCAGTGAACCCGTAGCCGCTTATATCATTTATCAATAACACCACAAAAAACAATGTTTAAAGTCAATAAATATTAATCATATATTGCCAGACAGTTACAAGTTATGATGTAAATTCTATAAAATGAGTATTTTGTAAATAAATCGTCTTTCTGTAAAGAATCTTGCTTACTAAAATTAATGGCGCTAATTGCAGACGAATTTATACAGTAAGTTCAATGGCCGCCAAAATTTCTAATGTTTCAAATTTGCTAAAACATCTTAAAAGGATGCTGTTCTAAGAAAAACAAGACTAAACTGACTCAAACGGCTGATTTCGCCGTATTTATATGAAAACGCCCAACCACTGCCCAAAAGTGGTTGGAATGGTAGAAAAACGATCAACAACCAAAATTGGTTGACGGCTTTCAGACAAAAATGATCGGAAACAATCAAAAACTGATCGGACTGAACTTAACTATAATGGAGGAAAACTTTACTTACTTTTTGTGATTTTATTTCTTGTGTACCAAGACAGAACATCTCCTGCCTACTAGTGTTTACAGAAACTAACTGATTCAACAGCTATAGATAGCCTATAATGCAAAGTTCAAAATGGTGGTGTACAGTAATTTCAAACACATGACAATTACATTTTAAGGAAAATACAGTGAAATATGTGGATTTTAACAAAATAACTTGGCAGTTTGTTAGAGATTTACATTCTTCATCTGAGGAAATCAAATTTTACATAAAAATACAAGCATTTAAGGAATTATGACAGCTTAAATTCAAGATAAAAAGGATTGTTTACAAATAATTACAGCTAAAGTGTCACGATAAGGATTTCTTACACGTAAAATACCAGCAGCTAATTCTATTGGTATAACCTGTATAAATGAGTTAAAGTGTTTTGTTTAAAAGTCAAGGCACGGTTCATTTTTCATTTTATGCCTGGTTAAAGTCAACAATTTGTACTGGATTTCACAACTCACTGATAAAGTAAAGTTCATGTAGATACGTTTTCTAAATAAATAATTGTGATACAGTTCACAGTTAAGTTAATGATTAATACCTGGGACACATCAATATTCGATTGAATTCAATTTCTTTCGCATTAATGAAAAGGGACGTTATATAAAACTGTAATAATGCTGACGATTTTGACTATACTTTCAAGTCTAGATGAACATTTCATGCTAGAAAAAGTGTATTTAATGTAAGCCATATGATTTTTTTGCAACTTAATTTAAAACAACAAAATATGTTATAACGCAAGAGCCCCGTATGCTATTATATAATATTATTCAACCATTTCAATAAATTCAGTCGTGAAAATACACATATTCAATCAACAATTTATTTATTTAATATTTATTTATTGCTTTTTGTATTTAAAATACAGGTCAAGTATATTCACAATGTCCAAGAGGATGGACACATCACTACAATTCATGCTACTTATTGCATTCTAAAGACAAATTTGACTGGATTGAATCACAGGTATTCAAAATCTTATAAATTAGTTTTGTTTTCTTGACGAATGACACTTTATTTAGTTTTAACTTGAATAAAGTAAGTAACATTCTTATGACTATAAATGAATAAACTTTAATGTTAAATACTAGTAAAGATATTTAACAATGATGTAAAGTTTGTGAGACGTTTGATATCAGGTGCTGAATATTTTAATTCTAAACTTGTTAGGGTTTCTTTTATCACACAGATGTTTTGTGCCGGATATAACGCTCATTTGGCCTATGTGGATGACTATACTGAAAACACATTCATTAAAGGGATGATTGTCCAAGATATACATGGTGAGTTTAAGAAAGACGTAATGTAATGCATGTAATACATGTAAAATTTTCAACATAGATATCTAGTTAATCCCTACCTAAAAAGTAAGGTTGCTTAGGTTTCATTACCACTAACATTCGGACCAAGTTTAATATTACTAGTATACAATTATTGGCTTGAATATGATGTGATATTTAACAGCAGGTGACATATTGACCGAGGCGATAGCCAAATCAATATTAATTTCTGCCGGTAAATTTCACATTATATTCAATGGCTCACTGGTGAACAATTGTTTTATTATATGAATAGGTTAAGAATTACAAAAAAAAGAAACATTAAAAGTACAACCTAGTATACATGTACAAATTTCGCCTCGTTGAGGAGCGGGAAAAAAGACGCACGTGTTAGGCGTGCAACTACTGCATACAAAAGTAGTTCAAGTCTATGCTCATCATTGCAGTGTAGTTTTTTAAGTATGAAAGTAAAGTAATGATATTTTAATTGAGAAATATGCCATAAAGAACACAACGCAAAAATTACTTTTAATTAATATTTGTAATTAACAGTCTACGGTGTATGATCATTGAATTTGAGTCTCAATCTATTTTTTGACTGGGAAAATCCAATTAAGCCAGTGAATATGATACTACACCAAGTGAATATGATTTTATTAAACGTTCTGTTGACTACTGTTTGGACCAATGAGATTGCAGCTATATTAAAATTATATAATAATAAATGATATTAGATTTAGTATCCAGAATGTTAACCAACGATTTCATTTGAATTGACAAGCTAGTGATCTTGTTAATTATTTTTTATTTTAATTGGCCACATTCATCTCAGATTCTATTTAAAATTAAAAACAATTTTCAGAAAGCGGAGCCGGCGTTTGGATAGGTGCCTCAGATTACGAAGTTGAAGGTCATTACGTATGGTACGGTACTGGTAAACCTGTGACATTCTCCGACTGGCAACCAGGGGAGCCAAATAATCATCAAGAAGATTGTCTCGTATACTATAGCAACTTTAACTGGAAATGGGCGGATGGAAATTGTCATGACCAGTATTACTTTATCTGCGAAAAACCGTAAGTAACGTCAAATGAATAACATTTTCTTCTTTTTCTTTAACTCAATATACAATGAAACCTATAAATAAAGGCTATGCAATTTTAACCATGCATGGCCGTAAAGCCGAGCAATATAAATTTGAAGTTTAATCTGTTGTAGTTTTTGAAGATTTGCCAAAGAGTTGTCTATATTTACAGGATGACAGTCTTCATTCGGAGGTGGTTTTAAACACAAGTTTAATTGTAAATAACTTTGAAATGCTGAGAGACCTCATTTTCAGTCATAACATTTTGTTCTGAGTGACGGTTTTAGACTAATCCTTTCTGAAATAAGCCCATTGCATTTATCGTATATTTGTTACTCCGAGAACTTATTCCTTGTAATCTAAAAAGGGTTTGTAATTGAAAATAATGATTGTCTATTTCAGAGTAGAGAATGTTATAGACGTTGGATAAATGAAATGTGAACGTTAACATTAAAGCTGTGTAAAACATAACTTTATTTTTATCATTTGTGCTACTTCTTCAGGTAAAAGCACTTAACGTGCACTAAAACTATGTTGCGCTTATTCATTATCCCTCATTTACAGACTCAATCAAACCGAGTATGCAATTCTTATGTTATTTTGTTGTGATTAATGCTTCCGAGGGATCACTTTGTTTCCAGAATTTTATACAATATCAAATTCATGTTAACTCTTAAAACGTTTTTGAAGCATAATGTGCCCTAAGAAGAAAACAAACATCCTAAATAACATCTGAAGCTTTATGAAACTAAGAAACAATGAAATCTAATAAATGAATTTAAAAAATCTTTTTAATTTCTACCCTCCGGAAAGGCGTTGAAATGCATATATTTTGGGCAAAATATTTTAATCAAACATTATTACGAAGGGTTAAGGTTTAGGACAACTGTGACTTTGTCAAGCCCCCGGTGCCAGGGGGCGTGAAGGATGGTGCACTCATTCATTATCCCTCATGTACAGACTCAATCAAACCGAGTCTTATGCAATTTTGTTGTGATTAATGCTTCAGAGGGATCACTTTGTTTCCAGAATTTTACACGCGATGCATCACACGATGGTGTATGTTTCATCGCGTTTCAACAATTGTAACATGGCATCATTGCAATCACAGTATCATCCTACCACCGCGTTTCCACTATCTCAGCATCATTGAGTTAGTTTATAATAAAAAGGTCGGTCTACGCTTGTCGAAACTGGAAAAACCGTACAACATTGTATTATTCAAATGTATTGCAGCAACTTTCAGCTTTTTCAAATACATTTAGGGCCGATTGTGAATCAATTATATATGCATTGAAACAGGTCAAGTAAACTATATTAATTTTGATATTAAGCTTCATCAATTTTTCCTACAAGTTAAAGCAGAATTCCTTCAGATTCATGCTAATTTTCATCTATCTAAAAATGAATACTTTACACAATACAAACGGCACTAATTATCCACGTTAATTACTAAAAAAAGGATCAAAATCTGCAATTGGCCATAAATGCGTTAGTCACATAATATACATGTGTTGAAAAATACTGCAAAAGCAATTGATAATCACACATAACATGCAAAACATTACTGGAATTTTGAATGTTTTACATTTCTTTAAATCTAAGTGCATTGTAGAAAATAAATATCAATAGTTATTTTACAACATATTTGATAAAAATCTGGAAACAAAGTGATCCTTCGGAAGCATTAATCACAACAAAATTACGAGAGCATTGCAGACTTGGTTTTATTGAAAACATATATGCTTAGTTAAACTTTAAAACACTTTAAGCCGTTTCCCTGCCAGCTTCCCGACTGACCACAGTCCCATTAGAACATGCTTTACAGGACGTCAATATTTTGAATAAAAAAGAATGAAGAAACATACACCGATGTGTTCCTGTAGCTTATACCATGCAATCAGTTGTGTTGATGTGTGTAGATCATTGACTTCTATGTGCAGATGTATTCATATAACGTAGACTTTGGATTACTTTGAGACAATTTTGCTTCTGTCATCCCATTACTTGCGGCGTTAGGTCCCAAGTAAAAAAATGTTTACCCTTAACGAGAAAACAAGTGTCAGAAATAAACAAATTACGAGTTTGAACGGGATCTGACTTCTAATCCTGTTACCTCTCTGGCGTGGGTTTGATCCCCGGGAGATACTTTGATAGTTAAGCGCAGAGGAAGGTAGTTTAGTACTGGTGTAACTCTCCAGGAACGATGGTTATGAATCTACCCGCCTATATGACTGAAATACTGTTGGGTAAAGGCGTAAAATGAAACAAACAAACGAACGGTTTTTGAGTTTTACCGATTCCTGTCTTTTATCACATGTTATAGAAAGTTATCATATCCATAGCCAGAGAGAATACCTGTGCGTGCAATTATTGATCCCCACTGATATTAATACCAAAGGAATTGTCTTATTGCTATCATAGCTATTACTTATATTATTTGGTTAATAAATTGGCATCTGCAGGTTTCCTTAAAAAAAACTTAGGGATCAATGATGCCAGCACTATTAAGTGTTGAGAATTGAGTACCGCTCAAACTGGTGCAAAGGGTCGTGAAGGATGTTGAACTTATTCATTATCCCACATTTACAAACTCAGTTAAACCGTACTGCAATTTTTATGTAATATTGTTGTGATTAATGCTTCCGATGGATCATTTTTCCCAGATTTTTATACTTCACAACAGCAGGTGTCAATTGCTGTGTGTAAAAAGTTTTCATACAAAAGTAGTTCAAGTCTATGCTCATCATTGCAGTGTAGTTTTTTAAGTATGAAAGTAAAGTAATGATATTTTAATTGAGAAATATGCCATAAAGAACACAACGCAACAATTACTTTTAATTAATACTTGTAATTAACAGTCTACGGTGTATGGTCATTGAATATGAGTCTCAATCTATTTTTTGACTGGGAAAATCCAATTAAGCCATTGAATATGATACTACACCCAGTGAATATGATTTTATAAAAAGTTATGTTGACTACTGTTTGGACCAATGAGATTGCAGCTATATTAAGATTATATAATAATAAATGATATTAGATTTAGTCTCCAGAATGTTAACCAACGCTTTCATTTGATTTGATTGTAGCTTCTAGTGATCTTGTTAATTATTTTTATTTTAATTGACCACATTCATCTCAGAATCTATTTAAAGTTAAGAATTTTTTTTTTTTCAGAAAGCGGAGCCGGCGCTGGATAGGTGCCTCAGATTACGAAGTTGAAGGTCATTACGTATGGTACGGTACTGGTAAACATGTGACAATCTCCGACTGGCAACCAGGGGAACCAGATGGTCATGATGAAGATTGTCTCATATACTGGGGCAACTTTAACTGGAAATGGGCGGATGGAAATTGTCATTACCAGTATTACTTTATCTGCGAAAAACCGTAAGTTATGTCAAATGAATAACATTTTCTTCTTTTTATTTAACTCAATATACAGTAAAACCTATAAATAAAGGCTATCTAATTTTAACCATGTATGGCCTTAAAGCCGAGCGGTGTAAATTTGAAGTTTAATCTGCTGTAGTTTTTGACGATTTGCCAAAGAGTTGCCTATATTTACAGGATGACAGTTTTAACTGTAAATTTACTTTGAAATGTTGAGCGACCTCATTTTCAGTCATAACATTTTGTTCTGAGTGACGGTCTAAGACATATCCTTTCTGAACTAGGTCCATTGCATTCATCGTATATTTGTTACTCCGAGAACTTATTCCTTGTAATCTAAAAAGGGTTTGTAAGTGAAAATAATGATTATCTATTTCAGAGTAGAGAATGTTATAGACGTTGGATAAATGAACTATGAACGTTGATATTAAAGCTATGTAAAACATAACTTTATTTTTATCATTTGTGCTACTTCTTCAGGTAAAAGCACTTAACGTGCACTAAAACTATGTTGCGCTTATTCATTATCCCTCATTTACAGACTCAATCAAACCGAGTATGCAATTCTTATGTTATTTTGTTGTGATTAATGCTTCCGAGGGATCACTTTGTTTCCAGAATTTTATACAATATCAAATTAATGTTAACTCTTAAAACGTTTTTGAAGCATAATGTGCCTTTAGAAGACAACAAACATCCTGAATAACATCTGAAGCTTTATGAAACTAAGAAACAATGAAATATGATTAATGAATTACAAAATATTTTTAATTTTAACCTTCCGCAAAGGCGTTGAAATGCATATATTTTGGGCAAAATATTTTAATCAAACATTATTAGGAAGGGTTTAGGACAACTGTGACTTTGTCAAGCCCCCGGTGCAAGGGGGGCGTGAAGGATGTTGCACTCATTCATTATCCCTTATGTACAGATTCAGTCAAAGCGAGTCTGCAAGTATAATGCAATTTTGTTGTGATTAATGCTTTCGAAGGATCACTTTGTTTCCAGAATTTTACACGAGATACATCACACGATGGTGTATATTTCATCGCGTTTCAACAATTGTAACATGGCATCATTGCAATTTAATCACAGCATCATCCTACCACCGCGTTTCCACCATCTCAGCATCATTGAGTATGTTTATAATAAAAAGGTCGGTCTACGCGTCTCGAAACTGATTTTTTTACAACAATGTATTACTTAAATGTATTGCAGCAACTTTCAGCTTTTTCAAATACATTAAGGGCCGATTGTAAATCAATTATATATGCATTGAAACAGGTCAAGTAAACTATATTAATTTTGATATTTAGCTTCATCAATTTTTCCTACAAGTTAATGCAGAATTCCTTCAGATTCATGCTAATTTTCATATATTTAAAAATGAATACTTTACTAATTACAAACGGCACTTATTGTCCACGTAAATTACAAAAAAAGATCAAATCTACAAATAGCCCTAAATGCGTTAGTCATATAATATACATGTGTTGAAAAATACTACAAAAGCAATTGATAATCACACATAACATGCAAAACATTACTGGAATTTTGAATGTTTTACATTTCTTTAAATCTAAGTGCATTGTAGAAAATAAATATCAATAGTTATTTTACAACATATTTGATAAAAATCTGGAAACAAAGTGATCCTTCGGAAGCATTAATCACAACAAGCACAACAAAATTACGAGAGCATTGCAGACTTGGTTTTATTGAAAACATATATGCTTAGTTAAACTTTAAAACACTTTAAGCCGTTTCCCTGCCAGCTTCCCGACTGACCACAGCCCCATTAGAACATGCTTTACAGGACGTCAATATTTTGAATAATAAAGAATGAAGAAACATACACCGATGTGTTCCTGTAGCTTATACCATGCAATCAGTTGTGTTGATGTGTGTAGATCATTGACTTCTATGTGCAGATGTTTTCATATAACGTAGACTTTGGATTTCTTTGAGACAATTTTGCTTCTGTCATCCCATTACTTGCGGCGTTAGGTCCCAAGTAAAAAAATGTTTACCCTTAACGAGAAAACAAGTGTCAGAAATAAACAAATTACGAGTTTGAACGGGATCTGACTTCTAATCCTGTTACCACTCTGGCGTGGGTTTGATCCCCGGGAGATACTTTGATAGTTAAGCGCCGAGGAAGGTAGTTCAGTACTGGTGTAACTCTCCAGGAACGATGGTTAGGAAACTACCCGCCTATTTGACTGAAATACTGTTGGGTAAAGGCGAAAAATGAAACAAACAAACGAACGGTTTTTGAGTTTTACCGATTCCTGTTTTTTATCACATGTTATAGAAAGTTATCATATCCATAGCCAGAGAGAATACCTGTGCGTGCAATTATTGATCCCCACTGATATTAATGCCAAAGGAATTGTCTTATTGCTATCATACCTATTACTTATATTATTTGGTTAATAAATTGGCATCTGCAGGTTTCCTTAAAAATAACTAAGGGATCATTGATGCCAGCACTATTAAATGTTGAGAAATGAGTACCGCTCAAACTGGTGCAAAGGGTCGTGAAGGATGTTGCACTTATTCATTATCCCTCATTTACAAACTCAGTTAAACCGTACTGTAATTTTTATGTAATATTGTTGTGATTAATGCTTCCGAGGGATCATTTTTTTCCCAGATTTTTATACTTAACAACAGCAGGTGTCAATTGCTGTGTGTAAAAAGTTTTCCCGTACTTCACTTCAGTGTTGTTATATTTTTCTGCTCCTTCGGGATCATTGATGCCAGCACTATTAAGTGTTGAAAATTGAGTGCCACTCATGCCGGTGCTAGGGGGCGTGAGGGATGTTGCACTTATTCATAATCCCTCATGTACAGTCTCAATAAAACTGAGTCTGCAATTTTCATGTAATTTTGTTGTGATTAATGATGGATCACTTTGTTTCCAGATTTAGTTCCGACCACTATTGACTCATTTAGGGGTTCTTTTATTCCGGATTACAACATCTGTCAAGATGGCTGCTTGAGTAAGAGAAGAACAATAAACTTGCGACTGGTGTAAGAAACAACGGTGGGCAATTGGCATCTTTAACTTACACAATTTCCAAAAGCAATTCGTAAATTAAAGTGTGCTACTTTTTTCCCCTATCTGTTGACAGTCGCACAGTGCACCACTTGTGATCACAAACGAAATATTCACACGGAGACCTGGTAAAAGATCATACATTGTTATATGGACCATATAAATCAGAAGGAAGAATTTTCCATATTGATTTTTTTACAATTGAGGAAAACGTCACTACACCATTGACATGCTGTATTTGCACACGCCCTGTTTGCAGGCAACTTGGCTAAAATGTTTTCTTCTTTCAACCTGAACCTTCAGCACAGTGCAGTACGTATGGATATATTACGATGTGTATTAAATGAATTACAATTAGTCAGCAGGTTTAGTGTAGTGGAATAAAGTATGTATCCTAAATTCAAAAGTAATGAAACAAGTACAAATATTGATGCAATGTAGCAATTGAGAAGCTCCACGCCAAAAAATAAAACCTAGCCAAATCATTCCTACGCACCGGTCATTTTCTATTTATATTTAGTACTATTGTGCATTATTCCAGATGTTTTGTTAATCATTTAAATTAGCATAATTATACTTACCGTACGCACTCTCCATGAAAGAGGTGTCAGATATTAGATTTTAAAAAATATGCTTTTACTCACGCCTATCTGGTAAGAAAGGTAATTCCAATACAAACAATACTTTAAGATTTGTAATGTGACATGACAGTAGTGCAACATTGTTCTGTCTGTGTCACTACCGTAGTCAGTAACATTAGATTATAAAAATATCAAAGCATCTACATTATCCTTTCCACCAATGATGCTACCTTTTTCTAATAATATCAACAACTAATCGTGATAAGAAACATAAAAATCCATTTGTACATAAGCCAGAACAAAATGTTTCATAGACTTTATTTTTTCAAAATGTCCGTAAAATCTTTGGTGGCAAATGGTGTATCAAGATATAACAAGAAAAGCATTTATGAAAAGCATCAAAGGGCGTTCAAGAAAGAAATGCAGCCAGTGAAGATGGAATGGTAGACATCTGATGACCAGATATTCTTTTCAAAGGTTATTTGGATTTTACAAGCATTGTATATCATATATGAATGGGTGAACGAAAGATATTGTTCATAATGAACTTTGGTAAGCTTGCTAGAGATAAGAATATTAAATGTATTTTCTATGCAACATACAAAACAGTAGTCAAAATGAACAAAGTCTATTTTTTATTAATATAATTGTAACAAATATACAAACAGTATATAAAAATAGTAACAAAAATGACTAATGTTGTAATATAACATACATTTTTTTCATGCTAAATTTTAAAAAGGGTTTCTATAAATACCTTGAATTTAAGATACAGTAGATATATTTAAACTTCCAGTAGGACACACACTGGAATGACAAATTTGGGATTGATTTTAAAAAGACCAAATTAATTCAGGATTTTGTTTTTGTTATACGCGATAACAAAAATAATTGTACATTAAATTATGAATAAATTTGCATGTCATGTTGATATGGTTAAACATTTTTTCTAGAATTTCTGTTTCTTAAATTTTAGAGAGATATAAGGAAATTCTTAAATTATGTTCATGCGGGTCAAAGATATAAAAGCTACTTAATAAAGAGCTATTGTGAATTGATTTATTGGGATGTCAATCTACCTTTTTGTTGAATTGCTGCAAAAACCTTGACTGACCCACCAGTGTGTTTATAGTCATATCAATAAACCCATAACAGCTCATGTGGAAACTGTAGACGAAAGGTCTGTTGTTAAAATGTCAAAATATTCGGCAAAGCAACATCCCACTCAAACCACCATAAAAGCAACATGCATGAACAGTAAACATTCGGGAAATCAGGCTCGATTTTAGCTAAAGAGACTTGAACTTTATAGATTATTACTGCTATACCAGTTTACTGTCGCACAACGTCAAAATAAAAGCGACATATAACTTATGGAAGCCAGAACTAGGTCGATTTAAATATTCAATTGCATGTCCTACAAAATTCTCCAGTTCGTTATTTATTACCATAGCGCGACACGAATGACCATTCCGTTTAGTTTAAGACTCAACCTATAAATAGATTTTCGGACTTTCACAATTAAGGTCATCTATTTACAGTTTTCGATTTAATGTACAACAATAAAATACATAATAACCCACTGTGTACTAAAAAAAATTAATAATGTCCTGTAGAAGACACAAATGTTATTACATAAATAACACATGGGTTTGTGGGTAACAGTAAAAATATCATCTTGAGGAAAATACTGTTACCCGAGCCGTAGCCGAGGGTAACAGTATTAATACGAGGAATGATATTTTTACTGTTACCCACAAACCCATGTGTTATTTATTTTATTACCCCGAACAAATACTGTGATGA